ACTTGACTTTTAGATAGAGGACAGCGTACTAGTCCCCAGGATTGAGGAAGGGGATGATGGAAGCCAAGTTATCATTCTTAACTTTGTCTTTCTCATAAAAGTGTTGAGACCGCTGAGGTTCAGTATGGGCTGAAGCCCCACTTTGGCTTTTGGGATTAGGAAATATTGGGAGTAAAGCCAATTACCACTAAACTCTGGAGGAACCTCCTCTATTGCTCCTAGTGCAAGGAGAGACTGCACCTCCTGCTTGAGAAATTGCTCATGAGTGGGATCTCTGCAGAGGATGGGAAAGGAGGGTGGGAAGGAGCAGAATGGGATAGACTATCTTGCTCTCACCTTGTCTAGAACACAACAGAGGACTAACTAAGAAAAAACTAAGGAGGCGTTGCCACATATGCTTAGTAGCCTTGTGGAAGGCAGGGAACAGCACACATGCAGACAAAAAGTTCTTTGATCATCAGCACAGGAACTAAGTACTGTTCCTTTGGGTACTCTACTCAGAGAAACTGTACTATTATCTGGAAAACCTTTTGTCCCTGCTAAGCTGATCTATCTACATAATTAGGGTTCAAAATCATCCCGCTCTAACAGAATAATTCGATTTGCCACCTTACTAGTACTCTTGAACTTCCTCCCCATTTAATGTTGATGCCTGTAAATAATCACCAGGGTAGATAAAAATAAATGATTTTTTTTTAAATCTGATTTTATTTAAATCTAGTATTTTGATAAACTGCTTTCAGAGGAAAAACGTATCTAAAGATATTGTGTCTAAAGTTACAAACTAACACAGCTACCCCTCTGAGACCAATCTAATGATGGTTTTTAATTAAGATACATTATAGCTCAAAGATATCTCATCATCAAATAGGGATTATAAATTCTATTCTATAGTGTGAGACAATATACCGTATATACTCGAGTATAAGCCGAGTTTTTCAGCACATTTTTTGTGCTGAAAAATGCCCCCCTCGGCTTATACTCGAGTCAGCGTCTCGAGAACTGAGGCGGGCGGGCTCAGCGCGTCTCTGCCGCCGGCCGGGTCTAGCCGCGTGAGCCCGGAGCTCCGGCCCTGGTAACCGAGGCGCTCGGGGCGGGGGGCGCTGCCGGGAGCGGGCTGGGCTCCGTGTGTCGGGGGCCGTTGCTGCGCAGGGCGCTCGGAGCCTCTGCCGGCCGCTTGGGTTGCGGGTGCGCCCACAGGTGCTGCTCAGAGCCAGCGGCCTCGCCCCGGGGCCGCCGGCAGGGAGGCTCGGGGGGCAGCCGGGGAGCCAGCGGCCTCGCCCCGGGGCCGCCGGCAGGGAGGCTCGGGGAGCAGCCGAGAGGGGCTCTGGCCTGGGAAAGGTCCCTTCAGGGGCTCATTGGATTGGTGGGAGGACTTTGAGGACTGTGTTGTGATCTTCTCATATTTAACATTATTTATTTATTTATTTCTCCTACCAAGAAATCTTAAGCACTTGCACTGAATTTGTCCTAAAAGGTAAAACCCTGCATGTAAAGTTTATTGTCCAGTGAGATCTATTGAGCTAAGGTTGTTGTACTTTTAAAGTTACGGTATTTTTGATACCATATTGTTTTTGTTGACCCCCTTTTCCACTTACAGAGCTAGGTTATTGTTTTTCTTTGAAATAAATATTCATGTAATTTTATTGGTATCTATCTTCATTTTTTACATTTACCAGTAGCTGCCTCATTTCCTACCCTAGGCTTATACTCGAGTCAATATTCTTTCCCAGTTCTTTGTGGTAAAATTAGGTGCCTCGGCTTATAGTCGGGTCGTCTTATACTCGAGTATATACGGTATTCATGTTTAAGAAAAGTTTTGTAAATGAGTTCTAATAGTTCATGGATTAGGGATCAAATCTTATGATGTTCCAGAGGCTTCTGTACAGATTATTTAGGTTAATATTTGTATCTACCCTGTGGGACTCAGTCTAGATGATACCATCAGATATCCTTAGTTTTGCAGTTCTCAAACTCTGGTTTTGTGTCTCCAGTGATAGGATGCTTGCTAACAAAAATGTTTTTAAATAAATAAATAATATATAGAAGTGAGAAACAACAGACCTCAATGCTATTGTCTCTCAGCAAATTTATGTACTGAGTATCAATCCCTTACCTCTTTCAAAGTGCAAAGTAAATAGAAGATTTGAGTCAGAATAGATCTGGACAAGGAGAAGAAGTCTGGGGATAAATGTGAGAAGGGAGATCTAGGCAGCAGAAACAAAAAAAGTGAAACTGTTTGAGTAGCATATTCCAGAAGTCATGAGGTCTGAGTGTAGCCTCATTGATTGGAAATCTACCATACTATCCTCTCACTGGAAGGGAAAACCTATAATGGCAGCAGGCCGTAAAAGAGACCCAGTGTGGGAATATTTTAATGATGTTCCTATATCTGTGGGTAAGATAGGCATGCATGGAAATGTAGACAGGGCAACAATGAAATTCAAGGCCTGGCTGTCCAAATGAAACATCACGAGATGTATTCCTTCTCAGGAGGAAGGAAGCGTCATTGAAAATGATGAAAGGAACACTTCTGAATATGCAGGATCTTCAGGTTTGTAAACTTTATTTCATACTTATTTCTTAAGGATTGCCTGCCTGCATTCTGGACTATTCTTGAATTCTCAAGTTTGAGCATAAAATATAGCTGTTATTCTATGGTACTATCATTTTTGATGCAGTTGTGATAAAAATAAATAGCTGGAATAGGCAGAGAGCTTCACCCTCAAAGTAGTACTGCGTCTCAGTGAATGCAATGAATAATACTAAATCAGCAGTATAGTAATAATTAACTGTCCTCAACAGACAGGATTCTGAAGACTATCCACTTTCAAGATCACCCTTTTCTATATTTTCAAAGTTATCTGCCAACGATAGCATTTCAGTCACATCGTGTATGTCACATAGCCACAGTGGCACAAAAAAAAAAGTCTAGAGAGTAAAATTGTTAACCCGAGTTTTGGTGGCTGGAACGATGTCTACAATGATTTTGTTGTATGTGCTTATGTGACAACAGAAGAAAGAAGTGTATCAATTGTTTCTGTAAGCAAGACATAAGGACATGAACACGTAGCAGAATATTTACAAGAAGTAGCAGTAAAAGGAACAACAAACTGAAAAAAATTCAAATGTGTAATATACGGCTTGGTAACAGACAATGCTGCAAATGTATCCAAGATGAGAAGGAATTTTTAGAAGAGAGTCCTAAGCTAATAACATATGGTTGCTGTTCTCATTTGATGCACCTACGAGCCAAAGACTTCAGTGTTCCAGAAATCAAAGCTAGCGTTGAAATTGCAAAATACTTTTGCAGCAGCTGCTCTGAAAAAAAGTGGGAGGAGCAAAGCTAACTCTTCTACAAGATATGCAATGGAACTCAGTAGTGGACTGTTTTAGGCACTATATGAAGAACTGGCTTAATCTGGTGACCATTTGTGAACAAAACTGTGAAAAAGTAGATGGCACTATCACAGTCAAAGTTCTTAACAATGGACTTCAGGGAAATGTTGAACACACGCTGAGTACTCTGAAGCCTATATCTGTAGCCTTGGGAAAAAAATACAAGGAAATAGCTGTTTTATTGCTGAGGCAGTTGAAATTTGGAAGGAATTGAGTGAGATTTTTTAAAAAAAGAAATATGCAATTGACAGAGTTAAATTACAAGCATTCAAAAGAAAACCCATGGGACAAGCACTATCTCCAGTTAATTTTCCTTCAAATATTCTCAATACTCGGTACCAGGGTCAAACCTTAACTGCTGAAGAAGAGGAGTTGGCTATGACCTGGGCATCCAGCAATCATCCTTCCATAATTCCAACTACAAAAAGGGTGAACCATTCAAGAAATATGTTTGCTGATGTTGTTTTAAAGAAAGTCATACCAGTGAACTGGTGGAAATCACTTAATCACTTGCATTCAGAGACTGTTAAAGTTATAATCTCACTTCTAACAGTAACTACTTCTGGTATAGAAAGAATATTTTCTTCCTTTGGACTAATACGTTCCAAATTGAGAAATTGTTTGGGGCCTGAAAAAGCAAGAAAGCTTATTTTCTTTTCTAGACTATGAACAAACAGGAAAATGACAATAAAGGTGACGGAGTTAGCAATAGAAGCCAATATTTTAAGTTTCTCATGTTGACCTGAATGATATATTTGATTTCATTTTGGAGGGTTTTTTTTTAATTTATTTTAGTTAAACGTAATGTGAACAAAAATAAACCTGATTTTAAAACCTGAATGTTCAACTAAACTAAAAAATTAATATGCTTGTTTTGTTATACTATTGTGTTTGCTGTTGAAGAAAAAAAATCCAGAATACATAACATTGTTATTTTAGTTAAATAAATTAAATGTATATTTGGTGGTATTCTCCTCTTAAGAACGGGAAATATTTGAAAATCCTCCAAATTTTAATGATGAACCTGTTGAATTAGAGATAGTGTGTCTCCTATGACTTCAATCACCTTTGTTAAATTAAATAATCAAAAAATCATTAATTTTCTTATATAGCTGTAAAACTAATCTGTAAAATTTTCAAAATAAATCACCATTTAAAAATGTAAAGTGTGTACCTTCTAAAAATGAAACCTACATCTTATCAGTTGCGAAGAATATGCACTAAGGTTACAACAAGCAACAAGAATGCACTTTTATGTAGAAAACCATGATTAAATCGAGTCTTCCTGACTAGTGATTTAATCAAATCAAATCCACCTTGTTAATCACCTTAATACTGTGGAGACCATAGGAAAATGTTAAGTGTTTGTTAATAAGCTAACAGTTGTTGCTTGATATTCAGAAGCTTTGTTTAGAAGTCATTAATCCAATCAAATCTGATGCTTATTTTTGTTGGCAGTTATAAGGTGACAACTGCACTTTCATCAGCCTATACCAGAGGAGCTTAAACTTTTTGGCCCAAGGGCCACATCAGGGTATAGAAATTGTACTGAGGGTCATGAATACTCCTAAAATTGAGATTGGGATCATAGGCGTGCACACGGGTGTGCCGGGTGTGCCCAGGTAAACCCTAATGTCTCAGGATGGCTAGCCCGAGCCATTTTTGCGCCCTGGGCCCCACCCAGCCTGGCAGCCCAGCAGCACGGCATGGCGGACCTGAGGTGCCCGGGAACGCCCTCGCCCAGCACGGCAGCACTGCGCAGCACCTCTGAGGCGTCTGGGGGCGCCCCAGCCCGGCAGCAGGGCACAGCCCCCTTGAGGTGCCCAGGAGCGCCACCACCTGGCACGGCGCGGCGCCCTTGAGGCGCCTGGGAGCGCCCCCGCCTGGCACGGCAGCCCTTAGGCACCCTGGGCTAGGGCCCAGCCAGCCTGTAGCTTGGGCTGGCTCTGACTCCAGCCCCTCAAATAGAAAGGCAGAAGCCGAAGGTAAGGTAAGGGAGGGAATGGGAGGAGAAGGGAGAAAAAAGAGAAAGGGGTAGGAGAAGAAGGGGCTTGTGCTGAGGGGAGGGGGCAGGTCAGGAGAAGAAAGGAGAAGACACCAAGGGGCAGGGTGCAAGAGAGACAAATGCCAGGGGGCCAAGTGCAGAATGAGGAAAAGGGAAGGAGGGGAGGTGTCAGTGGGAGGGGGGAAAGGGTGATGCTGGGAGAGGAGAGGGGAAGGGCATTGGGGATTAGAGGGGGAAGGGAAAGGTGCTGGGAAAAGGCTTGAAAGAAGGGGTGGGCATGAGGAAGGCAGGGATGGAGCAAGGCATGTGTGAGGGCATGGGCTTGAGGGGAATGGGGGCAGATGGTGGTGAGGGGGTGAGCACCAGGGGGAAAGGGGGAAGCACCAGGAGGATGCAGGGCTAAGGGAAGGTGCAGGTGTCACGGGATTCTGAGGGTGAAGCAGAATGGCAGACACCTGTAGGAGAGGACCAGCACCAGAAGAGAGAGGCAGGGCAGGTGTGTAGAGGGAGGTGTTAAGAGAGGGGATGAGGAGGGGTAACTCACATGATCAGAGTGGGGCTACTGGAGGAGTGGGCACAGGGGGGAGAGAAGGGCTGGTGGAAGGGAGCAGGTTGCAGGAGGGCTGAGGGCAGTGAGAAAAGCAGGAGTCAGGACAGCAGAGCAGGGCGAGGAGCTGGTGGGCAGCAGGCACCAGGGGAGATGATGAAACAAGAAGAGGAGACATGGCAGCAGAGAGAAAAGGTAAAGGTTTATAAAATATTTATTAATAATGTGGTATGCTGCCCACAGCCAGTTTGTTTGCGCCCCACGCTGCAGTTTGGGTTTATGAGGGGATCAACATGTGGCCGGCGAGTGTGACCCCAAGTTAATGTCACACACATTGGGTTAATGCAATTGCAGGATAGTTGTGTGAGGGGGGTTTTGGTGGGGGCCAAATTAATCCCTGTTGGTAGGAGGATGGTGGGAAAAGTCCTTGGGGGGGGGGAGGGTCACATGACACCTTTTACTTCTGGTTATGTGCCCATCGTGCCCCCAGTGTTACCTCTAGAGGTGTGGCCAATGGGGGTCTGGGGCATGGTTAACGGGTTGGGGTGTGGCTAATGGGGGTCAAAGTACATTTTAAATAATTCTTTGGGTGCACATCCTAATGAAATGTGCTGTACACGCCTATGATTGGGATGTGATAGGGGATGCAGGCTCTGGACTGGGGCTGAGATATTTCAAATACTGGAGGGTGCTCTGGGTTGAGACCGAAGGGTTTGGACAACAGGAAGGGGATCAGGGTTGGGACTGGAGCATGGGCAGGGAGGAGAGAAGGAAGATGTCAAGGCTCTGGGCAGAGCTTATCTCAAGTAGCTCCCGATCCTCCTCCTGTTCCTATGTGGAGGCATAGCTCTGTGTTCTGTCCTGTCCACGGGTGACAGTCTCAGCTATCACTGGCCACAGTTCCCAGCCAATGAGAGCTGTGGCACTTGGAGTAGGAATGTAAGTCCCATTTAATTAGTTAACCAGTTAACATTATGTTTAACTGTTAAAATGAGGAGGCGGGCGGGCTTCAGCCCCTGCTAGTTAACCATAACTAAGTAAGCCAGTAAGGGTGATGCTTACCGGTTAACCACTCACATCTCTAGCTTGGGGTGGGGACAATGCATGAAGCCCTGTGGCTGCCCCTATGCGTAGGAGCCAGAGGCAGGACATGCTGCTGCTTTCAGGAGCCGCATAGAACCATGACCTGTGTGGAGCAGGAGAAGCCCCCAACCCTGCTCCCCAGTGGGAACTCGAGGGCAAGATTAAAATGGCTGACAGGTTGAATGCATGTTGTTTTCCTCCTCCCCCATCTATAGTATTCAGAAATAAAACTGAGCATCAACAAAAAGCAACACTTACAGTCTTTTCTAGCATAGCACGAGATGGAAAATCAGTTTCTAAAACATCTTTCAAATTTTGTATTAGGGTGATATCAGGATCCCTGCAAGTAAGAGGAAAGAGACTTAAATGCATGGAACTGTGAAATGTAGATTTTAAATTAAAATTATTAGTGAAGAAACTTACCACAAGTGCATGTTGTTGTTCAGCTTAGTTCTCAAAGGATTTACCGCTACAAAATTATACATAGATATTTACAACATTATTCACAGGAAGAGATTTTCCCCACATTTCAGCATTAACTAGATTTTTAAAAGGCATGCACACACCAAAATACACAGATAAGTGCCTATTCATTTGAAAACCCATTAGACACCTAAATACATTTACAAATTTGGCCCTCAGTTATCAGATTTGAAAAGCCATATATAATGATAATAGTGCTAAGTTTTGGGATATCATACACCAAAGGTATGATTTCCTCTCAAGACATGGCAAGGAGCACAGAGAACACACTGCTGTGAGGAGGAAGCTATAGGGTTCCAAGCAGCTGAAGTTCCCAAAATGCCTTGAGGGAAGGAGACAGTGGCATGCAGGAAACCTCTGTGCAAGTTTAGGG